CTGGGGGAGAGCTCAGATACACGGTTTGGGGGATTCAGGGCCCCGGTGTGAGGGGAGCAAGCGCCGGTGTAAGGGGGGTCCGTTTGGGGGCTCAGGCCCCCAATATATGGGCAGTATAGGGGCAGGTTCAGGCTTCCTAACCCCAGTGCAGCAGGGCCGGAGCCCCTTGGCCGCCCCCGGGCAGGGCAGAGCAGGACCTCACCCCCGCACCCCCCAGTCCTGGCCCAGCCCCACACCCCGCGCCGGGGTCTCAGCCCCAGGGGTGGGAGTTGATGGGGTCGCGCCTCTCCCCTTTTTGTTCCCTCTGATGGAAGGGCTGAGTATCCCCTCAGCTTGCGCTGGCAGCGGGAGCCTTGCTGAGACCCTTAGAGGGCAGAGGGGCGATACAGACTGGGAATGTGCAAGTTTGTTTAACTCTTGGCCCTTCCCCTCTGACTGCCCCAGTCTGGATTCTCCCAGTCCTGCTGCTCCTGAGGACCCAGCCCAGCTCCCAGAGTTTGATATCCTCTGTTGCTTCCCCGCTACCCAAGGACTAAGCTGGGGCTACTGACCATCCTCCCACATCTGATCATGCTGCTGGCAGACCCCTGCCCAAAGCTGCCTCCTGCATGGGATTCACCCCACACCCGAAGACAGTGCAAGGTTCCTTTTATTTTGGCAATCTTCTCAGGTCCACAGCTCACGTGCTCTGGAGGCTCTCGCCCAGAGGGCTATCCCCGTATTCCTGCAAAGAGCCCCAGGTCCCCATCCACGTGGCAGCTGTGTCTCTTACCTTCAGGAACCTGGCAGTGGCCACTTCCTTGACAGCCATAGGCCTCTTGGGGTCTGGCTTGCCCTAAAAGACTGAAGATAAGTGCAGCCTCCTCAAACTGCTTGGAGTTGGGCTGGCCCTGCAAAGCTGGTGCCAGAGAGGCTCAGCCTGTCACAGGGCTTTTAACACACCCCTGACCTGCACCCTGTGTGAACATTGGGTCACACTCCCTTGCATGGGCTGAGGCATCCTTGTCCCTAGTCATTCTCGTAGTCCCCACAGCCCTGCTCGAACACAGGCAGCCTGGTGCAGGCAGGGCTGGGGGGAAGAACAAGCACAGCACCTCTGATCCTCTACGCTAGCCTCCTCTGTGCTCCCAGCAACAATAAATACTAATAAATACAAACTCTTTCACACTTTCTGCTCCCTGACCTGGGGCCCATGTGGGTGGTCTTACTCACAGCTCCAGTCCAGCTCTTCACTCTACACCCACCCACCTCAGCCACAGCAAAGGCTACAGGCTGGGAGCAGTGCCAGCAGCAGGCTTGGGCATGTCCCTGCAGTGCCAGGGCTGCTCCTCAGCCTCTGCCCCTCTTGGTGAAGCCCCCTGGGTGATCCCAGCCCAGCTGCAGAGCTTGGTGTCCATGTTGGTCAGGAGGGTGGGTGCTATCTCAAAGCAGTGTGTGCTGGCCCTTTACTCATCTCTCCCCAAAGTGCTGGGCTGGAGGCTCCCCAGTGGCCCTGGGGTCTGGGGTGAAGGAGGTCAGGCCCGGGGTGAGTAGCAGGGGTTCCGCGGCATCTCTGTGAAGGATTTCAGTTCGTAGGGGATCCCCGAATCCACCTCGATCGACTTGCGGGAGAAAAGCAGCCGAATGTCATCATGAAGGTAGATCTTCCCCGACTTGGAGCTGTGAAACCTGTGTGGAGATGAGCAGGGCAGAGAGACCTCAGGCTCCCCAGGCAAGGGCAGGGCATCTTCAGTGAGAGCACAATCCCCTTGACTACTTTGGCCCCCGGTCAAAGAAGCCCCTTTGGCTTCTGGCTGCCTTCAGTGGGGCAGAGACAGCTGCCCTTGGGCAAGGTGGCAGCTCCAGCTGGTCCCTCCTCCTCCCTAGTCCCTTCTCCTGTCTTGCAGGCTTGGGACATGTTGGAGAGGAGCCCAGGTCACCTTGGGGCAGGTGCCCATCACCCCAGCATGCTTTACCTTAGATGCATCAGGTAGCAGAGGACCCTGCGGGGCGGGCTGGTGCCCAGTGGTTCACTGGGGGCCGCTGTGGACCCCTCCTCCTCCCCCACGGGCACCAGGAAGATGCGATGGCGTAGGAAGGTCATGTGGTTGGCCGGCATGTCCTGGAAGTCGTATGTCACCAAGAACATCTTCACCACAGTCTTGTTTGGATTAAATAAGGTCTGGGGGCAGAGGGGAATGGGGTGAGACTGGGAAGGATGCAGGGCAGAAATGGGGCATCTGGGAGCAGAAGCTGCTGGGCCAAGGATCCAGAAAGCACCACACCAGTCTTAGAGGGCTTAACCTGAGTGTCATAGGTCAGTCCTTTTCACCCACCTTCACACCTGTGCTCCTCTTCAATTACATCCCATTCCCACTACACATACACACTTTTCTGCCCAAACCCTCACCCACCTCTTCCTTCCCTGATTCTCCCATCACCTTGTCTCCCTGAGAGCACCCTGTGCCCTCCTCTGCTATGTTGTCTTGGTGGCCATGTAACCTCCTGCAGGAGACACCCTTTCCAGCTGTTGCCCTTCCTAACAATGTCATGGAGCATATGCCCCCCCAAAGCAAGGCAACCAGAGCCCAACCAGCCCCATCCCCACAGGCCAGGGAATGACTCACCACTTGGATGGTTCCAGCTTTGGGGACACTGTACCCCTTCTTTCCCAAGGCCTCCAAGTCAATCACTCCCTGGGGCAAAATAAACAATGTGTGAGAGAGGGAGAAAGCCAAGGGAGAGCCCAGTTGGGAACCAGCCTAGGCCTGTGACTCCCTCACTGGGAACACTTGGCACAAGTCAGCAAGAAGACCCCCAGCTCAGCCCCTCTCCAAACAAGAGCAGCAACAGAGAGGTGGTGACAAGAGAGGTGATGACAATGACAACCATGAAGCAGCAGGGCCTCTTCTTTCCCTTTTTGCTTTTTTGGGTTAAAAACTGCTCCTGGCACAGGCAGCCATATCAACAAGCACAGGTTGAGCACAGCAAGCGTTGAGCGGCTGCCCCAGGGTGCCAGGGTACAGCCCCCCACAGCTCCCCCACATCCATGTACCAGGAAAGGCGAGGGTGCGCTGTGTTCAGAGATGTCGAAGTAGGTGACGTCGACAGGCAGGGTGACATGCTGGGGACAGTAGGAGCCACTGGCACCGATCTCTGCCGTGAAACCCTCGATCCTCCCTGATGGTGCAAAGCACCCCTTCAGGATGGACTCCTGAGAGGGGAGGGAAGCGTTAGGGAATCTCAAACACCAGCCCTACCCCCTGCCTCAATGCTCCAGGTGAAGTCATTCCCAAATTCACCGCACCCAAGTGACTGCATGCCTGCTTGACCTCACTCTGAGACAGACCCACCCTGAACTGCTGGGATAGCACCAACCATCTAACAGGGAGATGAGCAGCAAGAGTGCCTCAGCTCAGCCTCATTGCACCTATCTCAGCAGGTTCCACCCAAGGATCTGCTGGCTGAGCCATGGCTGTGTGGCACGCCAGGCCTTCTGGGGACAATCACCCAGGGCTCCCCATCAGGTTCAGCCTCTCACACTCATCACTGAGTGGAGCTCCCTGTGTGCAGCTCCCTGTGTGGAGCCCCTGGCACCCACCTCCCCCCAGCAGATGGGCACCATTACCTCAAAGTTGCCCAGCAGAGCATGGCTGACAGTGGTGGTGGCCCAGGGCGCTGTAGGGGACCTGGTGCCCCTCCGGAGGCTGGTTCGGAGATGTCGCCTTGGAGTGAGGAGAGAAGGCAGGTGTTGAACTGAAGAGCACACAGCCCTGGGGTGTTCATATCCCTGGGAGTTTGGATCTCTCTCTAGGTCCCCTGTACCTTTGCTAGAGGTTGAACCCACTTTCCTACATCCCAGGGGAAGAAGAAAGCCCCTGCCCCAGTCTGTGGTCTTGTGGAAAGAAGATACCTGGGCCAGGGCAGGAAGAGGACTCAACACAACCTGAACCTCCCATGGGGCTTCAGGCTACTGAGGTGGGCAGGCACCCTGCACCCCCATGTCCATCCCACTAGGCTGACAGGAGACTCACGATTTGAGGCGCAGCCCACTCTTCAGCCTCCTCCCAACTGTGGTGCACTCTGAAGAGCTCTGGAGGGGACACAAAATGGAGAACCGTGTTAGGGCAGCAACAAAGGCCCGTGCACCCCTGGGAGGTGCCACTGCCCTTGCCCTGCCCCATATTCCCATTTGGGTCCCAGCACACGGAACAGGCTCCTTGGGCAGCCATCAGCAGCCTCTGGAGGGGTGGCCAGCAGGGCAGTACGAGGACTGTGGCATCTGGTGGGGACATGGGGCTGCCCAAACCCCGAAGTGGCTCAGATGGGAATAAGGGTATTGGTACCCAAAGTACAACACACTGTTCCCTCTTTACAAAGCAGGTCTCAGGAGCAGCCCCAGTGACAAGACACTTGTAGACAGAGACACACAATGACACCCCCTCACACCTCACAGGGATTGGTGACACCTACAAGGACACTCCCTGACCAGCCTTGGAAAAGTTCTGTCCCCTGATGATTCATGCAAAGTCCTCAGCAGTGCCACCAGGCAGAAGGGTGTGTTGCCCACCCCTACCCACAGCTAGGATCCTACAGTCACAGTCACATTTTAGCCTCCTTTTAAAGATGTCCCTTTTTCAGGGGCTTTCCCTTCTGGAAGCCACACAAAGGGCAGCACAACACAAAGGGATGATGGACCTGGCTGACATGACTGGGTGGGAAAACCCAGGGAAGCTGCTGGAGGGCTTCACTCTGCATGGACAGGGCTGGGGGACAGTTACCAAAAAGACAGGCAGGGATGGAGATGTGTGCCATGGATGTTGTGTCCCAGCTCCAAGCAGCAAGAAGCCAGGGTAGCTCTGACATCATTTCCTGTGGGTCCCCACACCTTGGGATGCCCCAGAGAAAGAAGGTGCCAGATCTGGCCTGAGCCTGCTGCAGCCTCACCTGGCAGGACAGGGTGAGGGCAGGGGGCTAATAAGAAGGGCAAGGTAAGAAAGGAGAAATTGGAGGCACCTCCTGAGCTGCTATGGGGGTTGCAAACCTCAGGGGTCTGCCCCTTTGCTGTCACCTTGGGCACATGCAACAGGCATCTCAAAATGGCAGAAAAGCCAGTGGCATCTCTGCACAAGCACTGGCCTCCTTGGTCAAAGCATGTTCACTCCCACTGCCTGCAGACTCTTGCTCTCATGGGCATCATGGCCAGGAGTTCAAGCCACCCCACACATCTGCCTTCCTCCTCATCAGGCAGGCAGTGGCCAGCTGCTCTTCCCAAGCTTGCTGGTATTTCATAGCTTAACATGAAGCCATCAGACACCAAATGTGGCTTCAAGACATGTCCAGCTCTCACTGCCACACAGAGGTTATCTCCTGTCCAATCAAGGCTCTCCAGGAGAAAAAGCCAGTTGCATGCAGAGGATCCAGTGACTACAAGATGTCAAGAGCTTGTTAAAACAGACCATGTGTGCCAGGGCTGACTGTCAGCTGCTGCCTTGTTCACACCAGTACTGCAACTCAGGGACAGGACAGGGCATGGTGCCACAGTGGACCACACTGCCCACAACCACAGTCCTGAGCTCAGGCTATTCCTTACTTCCCCACATAAGCAATGCTTACCTTGGCTGCAGGAAGCAGGTGATTCCAGAATGGAGCTCCCTTAGCATCCGTGCTGCGGCAGGCTGTGGGCACAGGATGGCATGGCAGGACCCTCTTCTTCCTTGCTGGTGGGGACAGGCTCTCATCCTCAGAGCAGGAGTCAGCCATAGCCTCACCAGCAGGCAGCAACTTCCTTTTGGCTGGGCAGGTGCTGCTGAGCTGGCTGCTCCCACAGGGTGTCATCTCCTGTGAGCTCAAGTTGCTGGGCTCAGGGCTGAGCACTGTCTGCGGCACGGGGGACTCCCTGCACCCATTGGCCACCACTGGCCCTTCTGCTTCTCTGCTAGCCCTACTGGTGTGAGATGGGCTGCTCCCTGGCTTCTCTCTCTTCCCACCCGGGTCCACCTGGGTTGTTTGTGCAATACTGTGCAATTCAAGGTGAAGTACATTGTGGCCACTTGCCGGCTCCCCATTCTCTCCATAGTCTATGGGCTGATCCCCTGATGAGACAGGACAACTGTCTCTCATGTGCAAAGTACTGCAAGCAATGTGCTGGGGCCAGGAGGAGGAGGAGGAGGAG